AGGGTAAAGGCAACATGCAATGGAATTTATGTGAGATATGGAAAAGTTTACGAAGCAAAGNTTNATTAAATTTTCAATCTGCAATCTTATCACCGCCATTATGATTGTTAGATGATAAAAACTTTTCAAAATTTATTGCTTTTGAAATTAAAAGAAGAGATAACTGTGCAAAGCACTGTTACAGTTAAGCGGAAATTGCCATTTGTTTGAAATCCATTCGTTTTTTTGTTCACTAAGATATAATTATAATATCAATTTTTAATATTAAGGGAGTTATTTGGGCCATAATATTAAGGGAATTATTTGGCCACGAAAACAGCGGAAATGACCAGTAGGAAAGCACCGAAGAAATGTATTTACAGTTTGAATTTAGTTTTGCTCAGAGTGGCTGAAATTTTCCGAATATTCAATTTTCGATCTTTTCACAAGGTCATTTGTCAATAAAAATTTACACGAATGAAACTATTCCTTTATTTCTGCTTCTTAATTCTTTAGAGTAATCGATTGACTAAAATGCAGAAATTTCAATCGAAAAATTATGATCAGTTATGCAAGAAAAGATTTAAATATAAGTTGAAAATCAATTATGTGAATTTTGAACAGAAATTCACTATTTATACTGAAAAGGATCTGTTTCCAGAATTCATAAAACAAAGAAGGGTTTCAAGAATTCATTGTAGGATGGTCATATGGAATAGAGCAAAATACAACACTAAAAGGTTATTCTATGAAAGCTAAACTGATCTTTTCAGATGATAATTTAAAATGAAGCTTATCGTTCTCCGAAAGCCAATCTGGTCCAGATGGAAGAGCGGTCATAACAAAAAAATTGCCGATGATGAGGTAATTTTTTCGCGAAGGAGGTCAAAGTTTGACATGACAAGAAATTCAGAAATTTCTCAAAAACAACTGATTTATAAATAAGCGATATCAGCTAGATTGGCAAATCAACCATTGATCTAATCAACTGAATATTTTTCCGTTCGTTTTAAATTATCATTTAAAATGATCCGTTTAAGTTTCATAGATTTATCATCTGATGTCATATTTTGTCGCATTTGCTGCGACCATTGGACAAAAAATTCTACAAATATTCCTTTATTTTATGAATTCTGGATTGATTCATATTAAATATTTTCCAATGTAAATAGGGAATTTCTCTTTGAAATTCGCTTCATCAAATTTCATTTAAATTTTAAAACCGTTTATTACATTTTTGATGGTATTATAGCAAGGAATTTTTTTAAATATGAGCAAATAAATAACGATTGTTCATAGAGAAATAAGAACTTTAAATAAAAAAAAAAGTTGCAGCGTGAACGTAAAGGGAAGCTGGAAGTTTTTTTGGTAGACATTTTTCTTCCGCAGGACTTTGAAAGATAAAAATTTAGAATGCAATACAATTAATTTCAGATTCTCAGTATCAATGCATTTTTTGGTATTTTCTTATTGGTCATTAGCGTTGTTTTCGTGATTCAAGTAAGTTCCCTAATTGATTGTTAGAAATTTATTTTAAAAAACCTTCCAGTACACGTTTGTTTTCAAGTTTGCCCATCACGTACAGGACCTCCAAGTTCTCCAGATAAAAACAAATAAAATAAAAGAAGGGAGTAGGGAGTTGAAGGAGAAGTGGGAGATCATGAACCAATAGGAAGCCGTGGAATTCAAGGTATTCAAGATCTTCCGGAAGGTACGGGAGAGGAAGGGGATAAAGGAAGAGTTGAAATTTTTCAAAGATCAAAGAGGGGCTCATTGATGCACCCAAAAACATTCGATTTGTACTGAAATTTTGGATATCTCACATGAATCGCTTCGCACTTCATAAGCAAACTTTTCATGGAACAGATGTATCTTTTCAAGTGGTCACTATTAAGAAGTTTTTCTTACATTTTGCTCAAAATAGTGACCAATTTGAAGAAACACACTTTTCCTCCACATGATCACCTTCTTTGTCAAATATTCTGCTGGTTTTCTGTTGACGTTATCTGTTTTATCATCAGATGCTTACGATTTGTATTATCCACAGTGATTTGACCTTCTGGTCGGGCTAAACTTTTCTGCTACTGCAACTTCTAACTTTCGCACATGTCCAAGTTTCCGGTTTTCAGAAATTCAAGAAGAATAAATCAACCTGCAAGTAATAAGCACAAGATTCAAGACCGTTTTCCCATTGATCCTCTTGAATTCCCTATTAACTGTTGATCTTTCACCAATGGATCTTCCTTCCGTTCGCCTTAAATCATTCTGTAAAAAGGCAGACCATTAGCAATCGTTTAATTCGTCTTTTATTGCACTCCATGCGATCATTTTATAAAAAATTCTTGAAATATTTCTTTGTTTTGTGAATTCCGGAAACAATCATATCAGATATTCAACTTTTCATTATATAAATAGGATTAAACCACTCATCAAATTTCATTTAAGTTTTAAAGTCTTTTTTCACATTTCTGAAAATATTACAACTTTTCAAGAAATTTTTTAAATTATTACCTATCAATTATGATCTTTCCTATGGAAACAAGGAATATAAATAAGGAGTATAAGATTTCCATCAACAAATGATCTTCCAAAAAAGCTTAAAAAGTTCTTTCAGCAACCTTATTTATTTGTAAGAATTAAAAATTTTAAGGTTTAAAATTTCAGCCACGCTGCATAGCCAATTTTAGATTGTCAGTAGAATGTATCTTTTCAATGTTTTCTTATCAGTGATCTGCGCCGTTTTTATGGTTCAAGTAAGATCTTCAATAGATTCTTTATATAAAAAAGATTATATTTCAATAAGATTGACAAGCATCAATCATGTGTAAATTTTATTTTCAGGCTTGTGGCTCGAAAGGACTGCCAGGGCCTCCAGGAGTAGATGGACAAGAAGGAAGAAGAGGGGACATAGGACCGCCAGGACGTGAAGGACCAAAGGGAGAGCAAGGCTCGATAGGTAATCCTGGACTTCAAGGTCCACAAGGTGACCC